GCTGGGGGGGCCCTGCAAGGAGCCAGGGACCAGAGGAGAGACAGGGGGTCCCTGGTCGTGGGATGGGGAAGGTGGTGGTCCTTTGCCCATAAAAAGGGGAGGTGGGAGGCCCCCTGTCCCACAGGGCAGCCAGGGGTGAGTGTGGGTGATGTGAGGGGGGCGGTGGGTGACTGCTGCCCTTCCGGCAGAACATGTGGATCGAGCGGACGACCTTTGTGACAGCCTATCCCCTGCCTGGCATCCTGCGCTGGTTTGCTGTGACTGCCACCACCACGGTGAGGAGTGGGCAGGGGGGGAGCAGGGCCCTCCCAGGATCCCGGTGAGCACAGCTCCCAGCCCCCAGCCCTGCCAGGAGCTCGAGCCAGGGCATGGGGAACATGTCCTGCCCACGCTCATCTAAGCCTCTGCCCGGGTTCTTGCACCCCATCAGAGCCTGTTCTCAGTGCACACCTGATCCAGCCCACTCAGTGCTTGAGCCCCCAGATCTGGAGCTCCCAGCTCCCTCCCATGACCCCCCTTTGGCATTGCCTTGGCCTCTCTGCCCCAGGACCAGGGCTGATCTCGGGGCAGTGCCAGGTGGGATTGCTGTGCCAGGCCACGGGAAAGGGTTCCTCTGCTGACACAGGGCACGGAGACCTCCGGGCACTCCAGGCACTGACAGCCTTCATTTGCTGGTGCCAGCAGCACCAATGTGGTGGCAGGGACAGGTTTGCATGGCTGGACCACTGGAACATACATCTCCTCTGTGGGCAGCAGGGACCACGTGTGGGGAGCAGCAGAGGGTGGAGGGGTGTTAGCAGCTGCTGCCAAGGCTCTGTGCGTGGGCTTTGTGCCTCTGTCAGAGGCGGGTGCTTGGCCAACATCCAGGGTGGCTCAGGAGCCACAGCAATGGAGATGTGATGTGCCCTAGTGGGCTGTCACACAATGCTCTGGCTGGGCTGTTGGGATGCCCTGGCTGGGCTGTCACAGGATGCTGTGGGCATGGGGACATACGGCTGTACAAGCACTGCACACACATCTCTGCCACGGTGCTCAGGCTGTGCCTGCCACTGCTGCACCCCCAAAGTGACACCGATGGTTAACCAGGTTTCCTGTAAGCCACTGCAGCCTCATGCCCGCAGGACTGACCTTGGGGCAGCCTGTGCTGGGAGCAGGGACCAGCACGGCCAGTGCGTCCCTGTGAATTCTCGGCTCAGCCCCAAGCACCCAGTGCCAAGGGTCTGAGGAGCTTCATGGAGTGAGATGTGCAGCCCTTGGGGTCCCTCCTGTGGGTCCAGGGAGAGCCCACCCTGCCAGCCCTAACTAGGGGGGGAGGTGGCTGGGCCAGTGGGCACTGACCTCCCCTCCCTGCACACAGACCATCATCTCCCCCCTGGAAAACGCCATTGAGACAATGATGAAAACCAATGAGAAAATCATGAGTGAGATCAACCGGCACCAGAACGACCCCAGCCTGCCCATCAACCCGCTCTCCATGCTGCTCAATGGCATCGTGGACCCTGCTGTCATGGGTGGCTTCGCCAAGTACGAGGCAGTGAGTACACACAGGGGCTGTGCCGGGGCCGGCCGGGCACGCCCGGGGCTGGTGGCCACAGGCACTGGCACCACTCTGCCATCTCACTCTGTGTGGAGCTGGGCCAGCCTGGCAGTGGGACTGAAGGGGGTCCTTGCAGGCCTTTTTCCAGGAGTCCTACCTGAAAAAGCACCCCAGGGATGCAGGGAACATCGAGAAGCTGAAGGACCTGATCGCCTGGCAGGTACAGGCAGGGACACCTGCCCCGGGGTGTCCCCGTCCCAGGGAGCCCCACAAGCCCAGGGGGACCTGTCCTCGTTCTCCCACAGACCCCGTTGCTGGCAGAGGGGATCCGGATCCACGGGCAGAAGGTGACAGAGGACCTGCGGCCCTTCCACGAGCGCATGGAGCAGTGCTTCGAGCAGCTGCGGGCCAAGGTGGAGAGCCAGTACGGGGTGCGGGAGATGGTGAGTGCCAGGGCAGCAGGCACAGGGTGGGCACTGCTGGGGGACACGGGCAGTGCGTGGCACTGCATGACATTGGACAAACCAAGGTGTGGGGCAGCAGGGAGCACCTGGATGAGGCTGCAGCTGGGGCAGGAACAGGGTGAGGGTCACTGTGCAAGGGGGACCTCAGGGTCCCTGCCTGCCCCAGGAGGGGCACAGCACTGCTATAGGGTGGCTGGCACTGGCACAGCAGGAGGACTGGTCAGAGGGCACTGTTGGCCCTGGCCGAGCCCAGGGAAGGATCGTGAGGCTCTGCCCTCTCATCCCTCCTGGCTGTGTCTCAGGCTCCCTGTGCTCTCAGGTCTTCTTTGAGGACCAGCGGAGTGGACGACCCCGGTCCATGGCCTGGGGACCCGACTGCGACCAGCTGAGCCATGCTGGAGCCAGGCAAGTGCTGTGGTGGGGAGTGCTGGCCACCCGCTCTCTCTACCCTCACCCCTCCCTGCTGAGCCTTTCACTCTGCTCTGCCCCAGGTGCTTCTCTCCCATCTCCCCAGTCCTCTGCCCTCTTGCCTTCCCTTTATGTCAAGCACATCTCAGGGGTCCATCGTGCCATGCCACCACAGTGGCCCTGTCCCTATAGGGGGCATGGAGGAGAGACACCCCACGTGCAGCCCCCACCTGGACACCACTGTCACCTGAGCCACGCATGTCTGTCCTCTGCGAACATCCCCCACCAAGCTCTGCTGCAGACAGTGCTGGTGCCTGGCTGAGGGCGGCTGCTCCCAGCAGTGCTATGGCCAGCCCATGGCGTAGCCCTGCTCCCCCTTCCCCTGCCACCCCTTGCTCCTCACCTGCCCCAGTTGCTCCACAGCACAGAGGCACCTTTGACCCCAAAGCCTGCTCCCCGCACGTCCGAGAGTGAGGACCGTAGGAACGAGCACCGGGAGAACCGCTCCAGCTCCCTCTTCGGGTCCCGGCGGCAGGACGTGTGCCGGTCCATCTCGGAGCTGCCAGAGCCCAAGGTGATGCTGGTGTCTCCCTGGGCCCCCCCAGCCCGCACTTCCCTGGGTGTCCTGTTGCACTCAGACCCCTGACCCAGCTGGCAGCACCAGACTCCAGCCCGAACAGGACCCCTCATGGGGCTGGTGGCAGCCCCTGCTGCAGAGGGCAGGAGCAGGGCCTGGAGGGGCCCAAGGTTGGAGATGCAGGGCTGCCATCCAGCCTGGCCCCTCGAGGTGCTGAGCCTCCCCTCTGTGCCCCAGGACGAGAAGTGGAGACTGTCCCACAACATGAGTGAGAGCAGCCCGGGCAGCTCCGACAGCAAACAGCCCCCACCGAGCCGAGCTGCTGCTGGTGCTCAGCCCAGTGCTGCAGGTACTCCCCGCCCCAGCACGGCTCGGGGGGCACCTTCTTGAGCCCCAACAGCCCCACGAGCAGGGCTCTGCCCCCCCAGCACCCTCAGCTCTGCACTCCAGCAGAGGAATCCTCACCCTCTCCCCCCTGTCCCCACCGTGGCACAGACTGGGAGCACAGGCACATCTCCCACCAAATGCTCCCCATGGGGCGGCCATCGATCCCAGATCTTGTGCTGCTGGGTCTTGGTGCCGAGAGCAGCTCCCAGTGGGAGCCGTCCCCGCTCCTGGCTGGGCTCACATCCCAGGGCACCCTGACCCTGCTGCCCAGGCCCCACACTCCTGCAGGCAGGAGCACTGGCCCTGACAGCCCTGGGAACTGACAGCCCCGGGCACACTGATGGTCCCCTGGGATGGCCAAGCCCCCCAGCCCACCTCCCCTGCCTGCACAGGGCTGTCCCCATCTCCCACTGGCTTCGGTGGCCGTGTGAAAAGTGCCAGCAAGGTCCCACCGCTGCCCCGCAAGATCAGCCCCGCGGTGTATGAGACGTTCCTGGAGCAGAGCAACGCCACAGCCGGAGGGAAGGTACTGGAGGGAAGGTACCGGCTGGCCCCAGCCCCCATTCCCCCAGCCCCATAACATCTCTCTGCTCGTAGGCCTCCACATCCCCGACAGCAGACGGGAACAGAGGCCTCAAGTCCCCGCCGCTGCCACTCCCCAAGTCCAAGCGAATGTCACAGCTCTGACCCGGTGCCACCCCTGCCCATGATGCCCCTCTGCCCAGCTGGCTGCTGGACCCCAGGGCCCTGCTTGACCCTCACCTGCTGGACCACCCTTGCAGCATCGACACCCAGAGCATCCGGTGCAGCCATGGGATCTCTGTGCACCCAATGCCCAGGCTGGCACCGGGCACCGCCACCCTGTCTCCTGCCAACTCTGGCTATTGCCCTCCAGGTGCCCCCTGGCGCAAGGACCCACCTGCCTCCAGACTTCCCTGCCCCGATGTTCTTACCAGCCCTCACCATCCTGCTCAGGTGCAGCAGTTCTGCTCCAGCCCATGTCAGAACTCTGCCACCAGAGCTGTGCTGAGTCCCACCCAAGCAGCACCCCAGCCGTCTGGCCACTGTACCCACGAGGCCACTGTGCCCTCCCTCCTCCCTGCACTGCACCACAGGCAGGGAACCAGCCACCTTCCCAGCAGCATTTCTGAGCAATTCCCTCCCGCTCTCCACTCCAGAGGCAGCTCCTGTCCCTCATCTGTCCACCCCATCCTGCAGCACTGGGACACACTCCTGGCCCAGGTGCTGTGACTGCACAGGAGCCAGCTGGGTGAGCCTAGGCATGTGAGCCTAGGCAACCCCGTGCTGTGCAGTCCCACCTCTCATGGCCACACCTGGCACCTGCACCAGGCAGGTGCTGCTGCCTCGACCAGCCGTGCTCAGCCCCTGCCACACCAGCCCAGAGCCACAGCTAATAAAGGGCAAACACATCAGCTGGCACCTGCGTGGAGCTGGGCACCCCTGTGAGCCCCAGCAATGCCCCTGCTCACCTGGGCCAACCCCCAGTCAGCACCACCCCAGCACCCTGAAGTGCAGGGACTCACCCTCCTGCAGCAAGGAGGGCCCCCTGGGAGCCTGACAGTCACTCCCTGAGCCGAGCTGTACCAACCAGGCAAAGGGACAGGACTCACTGCTGGGCCCCCAAGCTGGAACAGGGCTCTTTATTGACATGGGCTCAGTCATATTTACAGTCTGTGTTACAGGGGACCTGGACCCGTAACCAGGGGCTGGGGAGGGCAGGGGCTGCCTGCGGCTGGGTGCTGCTGTCAGCAGGTTCCTGTCTACGTGGGAGAGGGGGATCAGCTCCCAAGGTGGGGGCTACAGGAGGTACCCGGGGAGGCGGCACCTCGTGCCACAGACATGGAGCCTGGGAGCGGTCGGGCTGTGCAGGTGCCGGGCTCCCCCTGCACACCGAGCGGGGCAGCACAGGGCTCCTCACAGGGGGTTGGCCGAGGTGGCTGCCAGGTGCTTCCCAATGTAGATCCTGGATTGGAGAGAGCAACTGTGAGGCATGAGCATGGGCACAGCCTGCTGGGCTCCAGCAAGGCAGGAGCAAGGGGAGATGGCAGCAGTCCACCGCAGCTGCTGGGAGAAGTGGTGCAGGACAGCACTCAAGGATGAGCAGCCCAAACCCAGGAGCATTTCCCCCTCCCCAAGCTTCCTGTGGGGACATTCCTCTGGATCAGGGCAGCCAGCGGCACCCAGGAAGCCCCCGACTGCACAGACACCCACTGTAGGCCCAGCCTGCCTGTGCTCCCAGGACTGGTCCCCCGACAGCCTGGGTGGGACCCCCAATCACCCCAGCCCAAGGGTGAGACTCGCCCTCGACACTCACCCCAGCCCCAGGGTCAGGAGGTGGCTGAGCAGCAGCGAGGGGATGAAGAGCAGCAGCAGCTCTGAACTGAAAAGTCTCTTCTTCCTCCCCACTGCACCTCCCTGCAGGCTCCACAGCACAGGCTGGGGGGAGCACACAAAGGCAAATTCCCTGGGAAAAGTGCAGGGTTAATGGGGGCACAGGGACAGCAGGATATGCTGGTGGGGGACACAAGACTTACTTTGGAGACAGGTACCGGGGGCAGCGGGTACAGGCCCAGCCCAGGGACGCTGGCAGGAGTCGCTGTCTCCACTTGGTTTCCTCCAGCATATCCCCCTGGAAGGAGACACAGGGCAGGTCAGAGCAGGGCCCAGGGGTGCAGAAGGGTAGGGGACAGCTCCTTTACCTGCTGGGGGTGGGGGCAGCCCGGTGGGGGCTGGCTGTGTGCAGGAAGGACCTCACTCTCCCCTGACTGCTCGCTCGCCTGCCCAGCTCCACTGTCATCCCAGGCTGGAGTGTCCAGCGCGAGCAGGGCCCTGCAAACAGACCCCCTCGGTCACCGAGCCCAGCCTGGCCCGGCAGAGCTCCGGGTCCCGGCTCCTCCTTGCAACTCACCCGTCCCCGCTCTCCGTCTCTAGCTGGGCTTCCAGCAGCATCCGCTCCACGTCAGCGTGGCAGGAGAACGGCGAGGGTGCCGGCTCGGGGCAGCCTGGGCCATAGCGCAGCTCCACCCAGGAGCCTGGAGGGGCCGTCAGCCCCCGCGCTGCCCCCCGCCCACCCCCGCACCCCGTCCCGTCCCGTCGCCCTCCCCGGCACACCCCACACCCCTGCCCAGAGACCGCGGGAGCACCAAGCGCGGTTCCCGACCCGGGACGTCCCACGGGCCCCAGGGCTGCTCCTCGCCGTGCCCTCCTCCCTCGGGACCGCCGCCTGCCTCTGCCCCGGCCCCCGCGGTGCTCATCAGCCCCTCTGAGACACCCGGTGCATGTCAGCCCCCACAGGACCCCGGCCCGGGCTCCCCCCTGACCCGCCCCCATCCCCGTGGCACATCAGCCCAGACCCCCATGTGTGCACGGCAGTCCCGCTGGGACCCCCAGACTCCCCAGTGCCCCGAAGCCCCCGGTGCCCGCCGGACCACCCGGGTGCCCCATTGTCCCGAACCCTCCGGTGCCTCCCTGCCCGCCCCCGCCCCGCATTGCTCCCCAGCCCGCCCAGGTTCCCCACAGCCCCGAACGGCCGGTGCCCCCCGGGCCCCCCCAGACCGTCGTCGCCGGTTCCCGCCATGGCCCCGCGGATGCTCCGCGCGCAGCCCCCGCCGCTGACAGTCACGTGACGCCCGCGAGCCCCCATGTAAATAAACCACCGGCACTGGGCGGCCGTCTCTTAAAAGGGCACCAGCTCCGCCTGCGGGCTGCAGCCCGCCCGGCCGCGAGGGCGGCGGCCCCGCCGCGTTGCCCCTTTAAGCGGCGCCTACGTGCGGCGCGCGAGCAGGCGGCGGCCGCGGCGCGTGCGGACCCGCACGGAGCCGGGCCGGGCCCGCCCCCGTCCCACTGGCCACGCCCCCACTGGCCACGCCCCCTCCCGGTGCCCGCACAGCCCGAGTCGCGCCGGACGCTGCCGCCGTTTATTTTCGCCGCCAGGGGGCGCCCCCGCCCCGCCCGTCCCGTCCGCGTGGGGCCCGCGCGCGCCGGTGCCGCCGCCAGCCCGGGCCGGTCACGGGCTCTGGGCCAGTCACGGGCTCCGAGCCGGTCACGGGCTCTGAGCCGGTCACGGGCTCCGAGCCGGTCACGGGCTCCGGGCCAGTCACGGGCTCCGAGCCGGTCACGGGCTCCGGGCCAGTCACGGGCTCCGAGCCGGTCACGGGCTCCAAGCCGGTCACGGGCTCCGGGCCGGTCACGGGCTCCGAGCTGGTCACGGGCTCCGGGCCAGTCACGGGCTCCGGGCCGGTCACGGGCTCCGGGCCGGTGCGGGCAGGGCCTCTGCTCACGGGCCGCCACCGGCCTGGGCCCGTTAGAGGCTGCCGCCGGCCCTTGCCACGCCGTGCTTCTCGGCGAACCGCCTGCGGGAGAGAGCGCCCTCAGACACCACCGCCCCGGGACCGCCCGAATGTCCCCTGCGAAGCCTGCCCGGGGAAGGGCCGCCAGAGAGAGGTGGCAACCCTAAGGGACCGGGACTGGGACCCGAAGGGCCAGGCAGTGGGAGTGACCCTCACACTGCAGTGCCCCAGGGCCGTGCGCTCCCCGGCTGCACCTTGGCTCCGGTTCCGTTCCAAGCTCGCCTGGAGCCCATGGAAACAGGTGACAGTGGCCAGAGCTGCTCCAGGAGAGCCACAGCCACTGTCCCTACTGGGGACAAGCTCGACGGAGCACGGACCAAGCAAGGCCTGCAAGGGGCTGTAGGGACCACCCACACCGGCCCCACTCACACTGACTCCTGCTCCCCAGCAGGCCCCTGCCTGGCTGTCAGGATGAGGTTTCCCAGTTAGGGTTTCTTGACAGGATGGTTCCCTCAGCACAGCCCCAGCCATTCAGTGCCCAACAAGCGCAGGCACACTTAACTTCCCCTCAAACTCATTCTCAGTTTTCTGTATCATTCTAAAACAACCAGTCACCAGAGCTGGCCACTTGTTCCAGGATTTGCCTCATCAAAATCTGCACAGGTTGCTCCCTGTTCCCTCACACCGGAGTTAACTGCGCTGTCCATGGTGCCAAACAGGAATGTCCTGCCCACACCGAGGGTGCCAGGGCACCAGTGTGACCTCAGAAAAACCCAGTCCCACAGGGGATCCTGTCAGCCAGACACGAGTCACATTGAGGAGCCTAGTGAGGCTGGTTGTGCTCAGCTTTGTTCCCCAGTGCTTCTGGAAAACAGCTCCAACCCCTCAGCCCCCAAAACCAGAGGCCTGGCAGCAGTTATGAGCACAGAGCACTTCCCAGGAATGACACAGGGCCGCACGCTTGGAAAGGTGACAATCACCTGCCCCCCTCCCACAGCCCTGGGCTGTGGACGGGGGTAGGAGGGGTTGGGAACCACCTAGCTGGCACAGCCTGGGGCATCTCGGGTGCTGTTGGGGCCACGGCTTGGGGGCTTGGGCAGGGGGAGTCGTGAGGGCCCTGGCAGGGGAGCCCTGGGGTGCTCTCACCTCCTGGCATAGTCGTACAAGGCTCGTTTCCGCTCCTGCAAGGACAGGTGACGCTCCACGGGGGACTTCGCAAACTGCTTTGTAGCTGTCTGGAAGACAAAGCACAGGAGCCGTCAGGAGACAGACAAAGCAGGAGCCTCCTTGGCTCTGGAAGGCCCTGGTACATCAGGTCAGTGCTCCATGCCCCTGGCTAGTCCTGAACACAAGCCACCAGATGAGGGAGATGCACAAGCCCACAGTACCTTGGCAGAAGGCGCAGCCACGGAGCCCTGGATGCCAGAAGCAGCTGCAGCCTGGGAGGTAGACAGGGTAGGCAGGTCAGTACCAGCCTCCTGACTCTCAGGGAAGAAGGAAACTCTCCCCTCCAGCAAGTTGGCAATCGTGGTGTCCACACAGTTGGTCTGGGCTGCAGGGACAAAGGAATCCCTTAGAGATCTGGATGCTCCATCCTGGCTGCCACTGTGCTCCAGTGCAACAGGGACAAGGTTTCTGCTTTCAGGTCCCACACACCACAGAAGGTCCCCCTGCGTCCCTCCTGACACCCCAGCACTGCTCACCCAGGTCTGTCCTGATGACCTCCAGGGGCACGTGAGGTAGCACCTCCTTGACCTGCTGTGCCATGGCCACAACCTGCACGTCCTCAGGAGCACCTCCAGGCAGGTGGGGGGGCACCCTGGGCTGGGCTACCAGGCGCTGACTCGAGGCTGCAGGAGAAAGAAGTGGGCACAGGAGGGTGACTAAAGGCCTGTCAGCTGCACCAGCCCTGCTTTAGTACAAACTGGTGTGACGTGAAAGCTGGACCCCCTGCCCACACCCCCCATGTCTGTGTCCAGGAGCGTGGGCCCCTCCTTCCCCCCCTGCCAAGTACAGCCCCCAGACCAGAGCACACCGGCAGCCCCTCTCCCAGGGAGCGCCCCAACATTCCTGGTCCTCCTCTTCCTCCCACTCCATGCATGAGTCACTGAGAACAGACTGAGGCCCCCACACAGGCAAGCCCAGGTGGCAGTTCCACAGCCAGGACACCCCCAGGGCTCCACAGCCCCCCTCCCCGGACACCCACCTGGGGCAAAGGGCAGCCGTGACGTGTGCCGCAGCCTCTTCATGTGCTCAGTCCTGTCGGCGGCGGTGATCCGTGTGGATACCACACCCAGCTCCATGGCCAAGAGCTGCGCAATGCAGAGAGGAGTCACACGCACGGGGCACACAACACACACAGGATGCACAACACACGGCCCAGGCAGCCCCCCTGTGCCGGGGAGCGTGTCGGGGTGCAGGCCTGCATGGAGCTACAGCAAGGGCAAGAGGGCTGGGAATCGATTTCTCCACGGCCTCAGGGATGCATTTCAGTGTGGCAGGGAGCACATGAAGGAGCAGGAGTAGCAGTATCATCCTGCCAAAACGGGCTGACAGGGAGATACGAGATCTTTGGTACAGGAGCTGTGAAGTACCCAGCACATACAGGAAGGGTGGAGAAACAATTTCTTTATTTGATTTGTAGCATCAGGAAAGGGGAGTGAAAGGCCTAAAGTACATGGAGAGAGTCCTGATAACTGCAGAAAGGCTAAGTGGGGGGTGGCAAATAGGCCATGGAAAAATCGAGTACCTGTAAGGGGCAATAAATATGGGCTAGAGCTCCCATCACACAAACATATCCAGAAATGCCCTCTGCAACTCTGCCTGCCCTCTGCTCTCCTCTGTGCCCATCCTCAACTGCACCAGCCCTACAGCCCTCTCCCACATCACTCTCCTACCTCCTGAACTCGGAGCGCAAAGTCCTCACTCGGCTCGTCCGCTCGCCTGGGGACAGACGGCATCCACCTGAGTGGGGACAACAGCACATGGATCCAGCCCCGCCAGAAGCAGCCCTTGGAGCCAGCCCCATGGGGAATGGCCCTTGGGGCCAGCACCTGCTGGGAGCAGTTGTGCCGGGCACACCCCCAACTCCACATCCCCTGCCCAACCCACACCTCTCCCCACCAGACCATCAAACCCCAACACCCACTCCCAAACCCAGGGCATGGCTCAGCTCAGGAGACAGAACTGGCTCACTAGAGCTCTGTTAGTTCTCACATGTAACATGTGAAGGATCTCCTACAGTTCCCAGAAGGGCCCCAGTGAGGAGCCACGGCCATTTACATGGGAATAGAAAACAGGTCACCCAGATTCCAGGCAGATACGGCCAGGGAAAGCTACAGCACAAGGCTTTTCTTTGCTGAAATACCTCAATCCCTGCATTTGACTCCCAGCCCCTTCCACTGCCTAGGAACCCTTATGACACCAGAGCTACTCAGCCAGACCGGGCTCTCCTGGGCCCAGGGCAGGGGTCTGGACGACTCCTGCACCACCCCTCTGGACCACCCCTGCAGCTCCTGAGGAATTGCAGGGACAGACGGACAGTGGAGGCTGGTGCTGCCTGAGAGAATCACCCCTGGAGTAAATCACTGCAAAGCAGTTTTAAAAATACACCGGGAAACTTGATCTAAAAGCCTGGAGAGACAAATTCCTCTCCTTTCCCAACACAGCACAGGAGCCAGGAGCAGGTCCAGGAGCTGGACCTGGCCAGACCCAAATGGTGCCAACCACAGCCCTGCTGAGGCACTCAGGGAGGGTGCCATCAGCACAGACCAAAGGATCTCGTACTGCCACAGACACGTCAGGGCCCCGCTCAACCCCAACCCTGCCCCAAACAGAAAAGAGAGACATAGTACCTTACTTGATATACTGTGAAGGGAACGAAGAAGGTCCAGAGCAGCTCCGTGATCCAGGAGGAGTCGGCCACGCTCTGGGGAAGAGAGCACAGTGAGATCCCACACACAGAACAGGAGCTGCCGGGAGCCAGGCAGGCAGCGAGTCATGGATATGTGGGCAGAGGTGGAGAACTGGGAAAGCGGGACCAGCAAACCCAGTGCACACAGGGCAAGCCCCAGGGCAGTTTCATCATTAGTCATCACCAGTTTTCACTGTTCGCAGTCACCTTTTCCTTCCACTAAGACAGCAGCAAGGCTTTCCCTCAGTAACCCTCCATT